AAGAAAGGGTGGATAAGCAACATGAAAAATTGCAACAACAGCAACAAGAAGAAAAATTTAACTGTACGTCGTACGGCTATCGAAAGAAATAATAAAAAAAAGAAAGTGTCTCAAATAAAAAAAAAAAAAAAAAAAAAAAAAAAAAAAATAAAAATGAAAATAAAAATAAAAATAATAAAAAAAAGAATAAACAACCAGCCTTAAAGTAATACAAGTGTGTGTATATAACTATATAAAAGTATACACATCTCGTTCATTAGCGATAAGTTCGCGACACGGTTCACCGAAATAAATGCGTGCTCGTGCTCCCAAAAGAAGACTCGGGTGAAGAATGATTTTATTAGTGTCAATATTGTTACAAAATATACTACTTCATACGGGTCGATGTATCGCGCATGTTCAGTAACTGTTTATTCGTTCGGTGATTCTTTCGTTTATTTATAGTATTATACAGGAAGTGACAGGAGACTTCTACGAAATGAATCGATATAATAATAAAGGTGCGAAAAGGATTGAAATCTTGTGAAATATTTTATATTTTTATTATTTATATCCCTCGTTATTAATATTTATATTATTTCTTCGGTGTGTTTTTAATGCACCATTTGGCAAAAACAATTACATCAATTTCGTTTCTATATTTAAACAACAAAGAAAGAAAGACGAAAGATTTGAATAGAACATATCGAAACATAATGATTAAATAATACATTTTTTATTTGAGGCATCGAAGATGCATCGATAATTTATCTAGAAGTCGAAAATTGAGAATATTAATTTCAAGTATTGATCGTAATACTTTTCAAATTTGTATGTAAAGCCCGCTACATGAAGCGTTAAATTATCACAAACTTTCATTGGTGGGGAAAAGTCGTGTGTGCTGGACCAATCACATGAGACCACGATCGCAATGGCGGTTTGGTTGGACAGTTTTATGTTATCGGCTGGATGAGTATATCTTTTTGGAGACAGACTGTTTCTTTACTTATTTATAAAATTACACCGAAGATTGTGAATCAATTTAATACCCAGTCATGTATAACTACGGCTTGTTATTGGTTTTATTGGATTTATCTTTTGATTGTAAGTAATCCTAACCTAGGTCGTTAAGTAAAGTAAGTTAGATAAATAACATAATAGATATTTGAATGTTAATTTTAGTGGTAGGCAGTGTTTCGCAATTGGAAATTGATAAGCATTTGGAGTTAGGTAGAGAATTCCTTGTACATGGACAATTGCAGGATGCATTGTCACATTATCATGTGGCTATTGGTAAGTTTGTTGGTTATATTTGTGTAGATATATCATTCTTCATATTTATCCATATTCTTCATATTTATTTTAGAGGGAAATCCTAATAATTATTTAGCATATTATAATAGGGGAATGGTATATTTGGCATTAGGAAAAGCAAAATTCGCTATTCTTGACCTTGATAAGGTCTTGGAATTGAAACCAGATTTTACAGGAGCTAAAATGCAACGTGGAAATGTATTATTTAAACAAGCTAAGTTTGACTTAGCAGGAAGAAACTATAAAGAAGTTGTATGTACCTGTTAATATATAATTTATCTGGTGCGTTGATTTATATAAAATAGAATATATGTTATATCGGCAGCTTGAAGTGGAACCGGATAATGAGGAAGCTGCAACTATGTTATTTACAATATCAAATCTTGAAACGGATATGCAATATGTAGAAGATATGGTTAAAAATAGGGATTGCAAGACTGCGATTCAACAAATAACACGACTTATAGAAACTTGTCCATGGTCGCTTGAACTTAGAGAATTAAGAGCAGAATGTCATGACGCTTTAGGAGATTATATGAGTGCTATTAGTGATATACGTTCTACTACTAAGTTACTATCTGACAATACAGAAGGTTATTATAAGCTATCTGCAATGCACTATCGTGTTGGCCAAGTAGAAGAATCACTGAGGTGAGATGTGTGTACTTTTCGCTGCAAAATTGATTACTTGCAGATTCATAATAACGGATTTTAATGTATCATTAATGTTTAGGGAAATTCGAGAGTGTTTAAAATTAGATCCAGAACATAAAAAGTGTTTCCCATTTTATAAAAAGGTTAAAGAAGTATCTAAATTTCTGGGAAAAGCAGAATCCTTAGAGGAATCCAATCCTCAAGGTTGTATAGAATCTGCTGAACGCGTACTCCGTATAGAACAAACTGTAAAGTATGTTAGATATCCTGCCTTACAGTTCCTCTGCAGATGTTATACTGCTAACTCGGAACCAAACCGTGCAGTTAAAAGTTGTCAAGAAGCATTAAAAATACGAGAAGAGCCATCTACTTTGTGTGACAGTGCAGAAGCATATCTTGCTAATGAATTATACGACGACGGTAACGTTGATTTGTCTATTACGATACGGTTATTATTTTCATATAATTATAATTCATTTAATAACTTTGTTATATTTGTTTATTTTTTGATACAGCGATAAGAGATTATAAAAGAGCATTAGACATTGATCCTTATTTACAAAAAGCAAAACGAGGATTACAGAAAGCTCAACAACGGCAGAAGATTTCAGAAACGCGGGATTATTACAAAATATTAGGAGTACTTAGGACAGCTTCGAAACGCGAAATTATAAAAGCGTACAGAAAAGCGGCACAAAAATGGCATCCCGATAACTTCCAAGAAGGTGAAGAGAAGAAACAAGCGCAGAAGAAATTTATTGATATCGCTGCTGCCAAAGAAGTACTAACTGATGACGAAAAAAGAGCTAAATTTGACCAAGGGGAAGATCCATTAGATCCTGAATCTGGAAAGCATCAGCAAGGCTTCAATCCCTTCCAAGAATTTCATCATTTTCATGGTTCACCTTTCCAATTTAAATTCCATTTCAATTAGTTATGCATATGGAATTTAACATGCATTTCGATTTTTAGCGCAGCACAACTGAAATCTTTTGTTTCTGTGCTATATTTGCGTGTAATTTCGAATTTGGCTAACTTTATTTTTAAATATGATTTCGCTAAATCTACTTCGTTGGTATTCTCGCATTTGAAATATTTCCCAGATTGAAGGACCACATTCGAAAGAACGATTTGACGTATCGTATATGAGATATTAGAAGACGTAATCGTATTACTAAAAACACTGCATAACGGAAGTGCGTGAATACTTTAAGATCATTGATTATTGGCTAATGAAAGCCAATATATATATATATATACACACACATATTGATTAAATATTAACGTATTTTCTATACGCAGACTGAATAAATATCGTCGATTGTACATCAAGTAAATACGCGTTATGTATAAAATTAATCATTTGAGTTATGGTATTGATATAACCAACGAAGTCTATTGTTTTAGGAGAATCATATTACGATGATCCTATTGTCGATTGTAGATACTTTTTATCGAATATCTATTGTATGGGTTTTTCGAGATGTATTTTTACTCGATGCCATTGATTATAAGCGATAAATAGGACAATGCTGTGCGCGTGTGATGTTTAAATGAGCGTGAGTCTGAATTTTATGTAAATATTTTATCTCTAATCATTGTTTGAAAGTATATTTGAATAATTTATACAGATAAATACGGACAAACATCGAATTGTGTAGTAATATATCCTTTTATAATCCTCTGAAACAACGTTGAATTCATAGTTTTTCTTGTTCTCTTTTTCTCTTAATTCATTTAATTTTATTTCTCTTTGACTTATTTTCTTCAAATTTCTTTCCTCGATCTTTCAATTTCTTCCTTCTCGCCGCTGCCAATTTCTTTCTCTTACGTAATCGTACTCGAAGATCTTTGTACTCACCCAGTTGATGTCTTACCATATATCCTCTCCATACTGATTCAATGATCGTAGCTGCACGATCCAGAATCGCTTGATATTTAGCTTCATCTTCCAATCTTTTAATTTCAGCTAGATTTGCATCGATTATTGCATCCCTTTCGTCTTTCATAGCACGCAAATCTTGAATTTCGATTTTCTGTTCCTCAACCTTAACCTTTTGAACGAACATAAGAAAAAAAAATATTTCAGAAACTCGATGGACTGTATTGATAAGAAAAGGAGAAAAAAAACCTTTAAATCGTCTATCTCTCGTTGTCGTCGTTCGATCTCATTATTATATCGATTGGTCCATGCAAACATTTCATCCTCCATATCTTTGATATTCTCTTCATAGTATGCACTAAGTTTTCCAGTAACTATTTCCTCCAAGCTTTGTTCCTTTCGATATTTATTCAGTTCATTCAAAAGACTTTGCTCTTCCACGTCGTGTTTCAACTTTTGCTGAGTTAATCTCGCCTTTTCCCAATTTTCAACGTAACCTGAGAGAACAAATATTTTTATATTTATTATTTGATTAACATATATAGGAAAAGCTTGAAAAATGAAAAAAGAGGGTGATTTGTATATTAAATTAAATATATTTTAATTTAAAAATATTTGTACGATTATATCGTTTTATTGTCTTTTTCGTTGTTGCCGTCTGTTTGATCACAAATTGGATTATGTTCATTCTCTTTTTGATTGATGCAACATATTACAAATACGAATAATATCACTTACCCATTTTCAATGCTATCTCGTAAACAGTATCGTCGACTTTTCCGTTTGTTATCTGAGCCAATTCCAGCAACTCCCTTTTCTCGCGTTCCTTTCTACTAGTTTCATCTTTGATCAATTTTCGTAATTGATTAACTTGATTCTCCCAAATCGTACAATTTTCTTCGAGATTATGTTCGTCCTCGAACATCTTTGCGATATTATTCACTTCCTGTTCGAGTCTTTCGAATTTTCGGAAATGTTTGATCTCATCAAGTGTCTCATTTAAAATCTTGTGCACGTATGTTCTGAAATATTACCCCTTACGAGGTAAAATTTATTTAACAATTCGAACTTGGAACAAGTAATTATTATTTCAAAACATTTCATTTCGCGAGATAATATTATTTATATATAATTTATAAACAACATATTTATAAAAAAGAAAATAATAAAAATTTGATCAATCCGTTCTGCGTATACAAATTCGTTCTTCTAAATTTGTTAATATTTGTTAATAATAACAAAAAAAAAAAAAGAAAGAAATATATTACTATTAACTCACAATCGGTGGACACGAACCTGTCTCTCTGAAGTTTTTCTGCTACCGTCAACGTCAACGGTGGCAAATTAGCTTCCTTTCTGAATATTCTATGAGGTTTCCTCGAGACGTCGTATTTCTCATTTATGGGTTTTACAGTATCGTCCCAAAGATCATTGATCTCCGCTGGTATAGCATATCTTAAGACAGCCAAATGATTAACGCATTCCTCAAGGACGCAGGCTATCACTTTTGCTTCATAAAATGATAAAATTGATGTAGGATACACGTCGAGTTGCATACTCAATACACCTATAACTTCTGATTTTTCGTATTTTCTTTTAAGCATTGACACTTCCGAGATCGACGTTTGTTTATCTTCGGTCGGCTGCATTTATTAGAAATTTATTAGAAATATTATACAATAGGATCGTTTATCGCGATCAGCCATTTTTTTGTTTAATTCTTTATTTGATTTTATTAGCTACCATTTACTTTTGTCGATATTTTTTTTAATCTTTTTTTTTTCATTTTACTTGTGTATTATGTATCATCGTTTGTGAAAGTGTTACGGGTTGATCGAAAAGTTTGTGCAGATTTAGAAAAAAAAAAGAAAAAATGGATTCGAAGACACAATCCAAAAATATATTTTATATTTTATTAAATAGAAATGAGATATATATTTTTTTTTTTTCGACGATAAAACATCATTTTTAATTTTTCAACGTGGTCTCGTAATATTTAGAAATGACGTAAGCTCAAAAATTTTCGATCAATTTTCGTAGTTATTATTAAATCGGCAAAAAATTTTGGGTCGAATAACCATAGACATACTTTCGTCCCGCTGTCGGTCGAAGAAATTTCCGTCTCGATTGAGGATTTTGGTAATCGAAATATACTTGGTCTAGGCTGCAAAATGGTTCCACGTTTTTTATATCTTATTAGATCTTCTCCTTGTAAAAATCTTTTCGGTTCAACGTCAGAAATGGGTGTAGCCGTATCTTCTTCTTGTTTTATCCCCTCTTCCTTCATCCTTTCTATTTGCTGTAAATATATTTTTTTTATGTAAATAGAACTTTTCAGATTTGTAAAATAAAATATTATATACAGGGTCTTTCGCGCCTAACTCGCGACCATCTAAAATATCTCGTTTATTTCGTACGATAGAAAAAAATATCAATTGAAAAAAATATTCTGTTCGAAGACGCCGATATAGTGATGGGTCGAATGTTTTTTTCAAGGTTATTTTTTTTTTTAAATTTCAAGATCACCGTATTTTTTTTTTATCTTAAAATGAGTCTCTGAGAGAAAGAATATTAAATTTTTATCGAAATTCGTTTTATGTTGGAAAAAAGTCCTATGTGGTGTATACTGAGGTATACTACGGTGTACCATAAGTTTACATGGTTTTCAATTTTGGTATGATGGAAAAAATCTACTAAATAATAAACATATATATACGTGTACTTGTTTAGTGTGAAAGTTTAAAATTTGTTGCATAGCTCTTACCATCGTTTCTTCATCGATATTTGAAATTTTATTTAAATTCAGAGCCGAGGAAATAGCACTTTTCTTCTTTATAATATCGATCGTGGATATATCTGTAGATTTATCACGAATGTAGATCGTACCTATTCGGTTTTGATCCAACACAATCGATGAAATTGTGGTTAAAGAATTTTCGTTCATGAAATTTTGCATGTTTTCTTCCCTGTTCGTTTCTAAATCCTCTGCCATGTTTTTGTTGTCAATGTCTTTACTATGGTATAAATTAAAAAAGGTTATTTATTAATGTTATAGAAGAAATTAGTTTTCTTCTGTTTTTCTTGTTTCCTTTGCTTTGCAACGAGTCGAAATTAAAAAGTTTACGCACATGTGAACGTTTCGTTTGAAAGTTACGTTTATTAATTTCATTCGATCATCATTCGTTCTCTCACATCAGTAATCTATAATTAATTGAGCATTTTAATTTGTTTGTCATTCCTTTCTTTTTATTTTTGCATAATATAAGATCGGTTAGATTTATGTCAATTCTATAATACACTACAATTATTCGCTTCTCGTGGATTATTATATCATCTAGATAAGTATGTAATACTCCTTTCTTCCATACTTCAATAAGATCGTAATAATTATTTCGTGATTTAACTAGTTATTTTTTGAGTCAATGTATTTTTCGCGTTTCAACGATAACACATATACACATCAGAGAAATATTTCAAAACAACGTATCCGTTTTAAGATAATATTACGTAATAATAACTCATTCTATGAGATAAGTATTACCACCGTACGTAGTAGAAAATCGTAAAGAGTATATTACCAAATCGGGTATATCAAATGTTCAGTCACATCATTATCTTGTTCAGTTGCCATGATCGCGTCGCAACACTAATCTAATTCGGCGTGAAAATCGGTTTACGATACGTATATATCTGCGTAATTCTTGTCTCAAAAGAAAAATAAAAGATGATTTGTTTTTTTCGGATAGGATGCAAATTTTTTTTCATATATTATTTCAGGTGGTAGGGAATTGGGATGGTGGTAGGGGGTGGGAGTGGGGGTGTAGGGAGAGGGAATGGGTGGGGGAAGTTATATATAAGAAGAAAACGCTTTTACTTTCGACATTGGTCACTAAGAAATTACCAAGATAAATCTGCCCACTGTAATTGTAGAGACAGAATATATATTATTATACCTATAAATTTAGTTCAATTAAAATTGATAAATATTCTGGTAAATTTACGTTGCCACACTCGCGTTATCTAAATCTCGTTTAAAACTCGCGTATCCGCGTGCTTGACGACCTATGGTCGATTTGAAATTAATTTACACGGAAGTTTTGGTTCAACAAGCCAAAGAGGTTTCACTTTGTATGATTTTATAATGCAATTCGACTTGGCTAGTTGTAAAAGATTTTTCTTGTTGTTTCTTTCTTTGTCCATTAGAGAATTGTATGTCGTTCGAAAGACGTTACTCGCGGATAATTCTTTACGAGAAAAACATTAAAAAGACTATATAATAAAACGTCGTCGAAAAGTTAACGCGTTTTAACGTTACAAAGTAAACACATCGTTGTTGAAAGCATCGAGAATGAGTTCCTAGTAACTAGTAAAAAGATTAATGGCTTTCGAAAGTTTCCTTCTTAAATAGAAGAAGAAGAAGGAGAAGAAGAAGAAGAAAAAAAATACATCGGCGAAATAAGAACCGATGAATTATAGTGGACTCACTTGATTACGCCCTTACGAATACGTTAATTAAAGCATCTTTCTACGTATCACATACAGAAAGAGTATGTGTTATATATAATTATCCTATGTATATAAGTACAAGCAATCATTCGTAAATTAAATTTTTTACGGAACCGTGTTGCATTTCTACAACGTAATAAAATACAAAAAATATATATATTTATATATAATATAAATGTTTATATTAATATAATTATTAATTATTCATAATAATTACATATATAATAATATATAGTAATATATATATTTTATAATTATATTACAACATATATAATTTTATATATATATGAGATGGAATAATAATATATAAATAATTGTACGCGTGTATAGATAAATTTGAAACAAACGTTTATTTTTCGCGAAATGAAATTTTTAATGAATAAAATCTATTGGCAATAAATCGATATTTATTTGTATAACCAAAGTTAAGTTTAATAAAAAATTCTATCGAAGTATAGATAATGCTTGTATTGTGACATGTGCAATTGATGTATGATTTCTTCTTCTTCTTCTTCTTTTATACAACGAAGAACAGGAAATATCTAGTCTATCTATCTCGTTCGTTGCAATTATATCCGTGACACTTAATAAGTTCGTATTCGATGGACGTATGATGTTAGTTTTTCTCTGTCTTTTTTTTTCTTACTTGATCGATAGATCGGCATCCCTTTTTCTGTCGCGTTCCACACTGTACGTACCAGACATTGGAATGCGAGAAAAAAGTCATTGTCCAAACGAAACTATTTGTCTTTTACGAAAAGTCTGGAAACGCGTTGATAATCTTCTTATAAATATTTCGTTCTAATTATCTGAAGAGTTAAACAAAAGTGTATCCCTTTTGAAAAAAAAAAATATTTAATACGTACCATATTGATATTTCATGTGATTCACGTTTGGAAATTAATATATCAAAAATATATTTATAAATGTAATATAATAATCGAATATATATATATCGATTATGTTCAGTCAAAAGAATAATATCTGAATTTATTGCGCGAAAAAATTAATTTTTAACAAGACAAAAATTATCAGATTTGAGAAAAGAGTGTGCTTCTCGTTAATATTTTTTTCATATACACGTTATTATAAATTCGAAGAAATAATTTTTTCATACAAAAAAAAAAAAAAGAAAAAACATAAGAAGATATAAAATACAAATGTATAGTTATTATAGACGCGATAAAAATTTATAAATCGAGTATATGAACTTTCCCAGGCAACCGAATACATTTATTTTTTTCGAATGAATGTTATACTTTTCGATAATATTATTATTCTAGTTAGATACACCGGCACAATTATTATTACGTTTGTCTTTTTCTTTCTATGAGAATATCCCTTGAGACAAAAGTTAAGAATCGAACGTTTGGAAATTCTTAATAGCGATTAAATGGCCATTTAATTATGGCACCCGTTGTCAGCTTTTGTACGACTTTCTCCGTCAATTAAGTACCTGAATTACATTTAACCATTAGAAATAGAGTATTCCATTGCGTACGCGTTCTTTTGCGTATAATTAGAATAATAAAGATACTTTCAATATCTGTCTTGTTCTCTTATCAATATATTCAAAAGTCGTCCTCTTATAATTAAATAAATATAATTTTATATGGTAAATATAAAACAGTTAATTTGAAAAAAGAAAAATTGACAAGCCTATTTTAATATTCGAAGGTATTAATTGAATTATACAAAAAATATATATATATAATATATATATATTTTCATATTTTTCTTCTCCTTACACAATTAGATACTGATTTAATTCGTTAGTTAATATAATTAAATATTAATTTTGCAAAATATTCGTCTTAATAATTTGTGCTTTTTAATGTATTGGTTTCTCTTCTAATTAGATACCTTGTACTATACATTAATCATAATGAACGAACTAATGGATAATGATTTCCTATATTATTGAACAGGTGTTCTGATTAATGAATCAGAAAGTTTCCGAAAATTGAAAGTTTCATATAAACGTTCTATACATATTCGTTTGCGATTAGCAAGATGTTATGAGTTTCTAACAAATGAAATACATATCATTCGATTGAAGTCACACTAATTCTGAGTGTTACCCTACTTCCATGGAAAACTTTGTCGTAGAAACTATTTTCTATTCCGTTCTGAAGCAATTATTACTTATTATAGGCAGGATAGCCGGTTTGTGCAATGTAATCGTTTGGGTGCCGCTTTTTCACATCGAGTACCAGTTTCCTGCTGATCACTTTCTTACCAAATATCTGTATCACTTTTCCTAATTGTGTTCTGCACATTCCATCTGGTAGTTTTATACGGTTACATAAGTATCAGCATAATTCGTAAGATCTGTTGTTTAATTTTTTTCTTCGATTGAAATTAGAGTAAAGAACTTTACTAATGAGATATATCCGTTCGAATAAATAACACGAAGTTTTAATTAATCCCCGAGTATCGTCAATTATTAATCGTATATATATATATGTATATGTTCGTAATTATGAAATTGATCTGATAACTCAAAATTGAAAAAAGAAAAATGAGTTTATTAGTTATATTTCATAACACATTATATTTTAATTGTAAGGGGAAAACAACAAAGTATATAAGAAAATTGTTGAGAGAATAAAATGAATTTAAGATTGACGATCGAATAACAAAAGATCGGATCGAAATCTTTAAGCCATTATTTCCTTTTTTTTTCCTTTATTATTTATTTCAAGAGTTTGATACCGTACCCTCTTCGTATAAAATTTATAACTAATTGTAAGACCCTAACAGTTGTCGTTGTTAAGGAACACATCGGCCTACGAAGGAGAAAGTGGGTGAAGGCTAGAAACGAATGATTTACCACAATTACTTGCAATCCTTAGAACGTTGTTAGAACTTTGTTAACGAAGCAAACACCGTTACGAGAAAGTATATATACAAGTTGAACGATATATTCGAGTTATGTTATATATCTATATATATATATGCCATGCCGAAGCCACGCGAATACTGTCAAGGATTTTTTTCGATCTATCGATCTACCGATCGTAATCGTTTAAATGATTCTCACGTTAAACTTATATCCTTGTAAGATTATAATTGAGAAAAATCTATTATTCGTTTGGGGTAATTTAATCGTCGATACACAAAGGGTAATAATAAATTTTTTTTTTTTTTTTAATGTTATCGAACTATTATCCATTAATTTTTAATCAACCGCATTGTGTGTCGTGTTGAATTTATTCTGAAGTATTATCTACATTTACGAGCAAAGAAGAAGAAAAAATAGAAACAGTCACGGTATTATGCGTTTTTATTTGTATAGTAAATATCCGATTTTTTTTTATTTTTTTTTAAATATATACAACATATGTTACACATACGCGAAGTTTCTCTTTATATTTCTCAACCTTATGCAAGTGCACATGTAGAATTATTACATAATATTTGTTAATAGACGTTATTACAAACTATAAACTTGGCTGCATTCTATCGATATCATGACCTTGATCGCATTTCTTTGTCATATGTGTTTCATTTGAAAAGACGCGTACAAAAAAAAAAATGTTTAACAAGAGAGAAAGAAAAAGAAATAATAACTCATGTTATAAATATAGATAAACATCTTTTTGTCGGAATTATCAATGGTCTTTTATAATTTGATTGATAGCAAGATTAATCCTAGGATTAAGATTCTACATTTATCTTTTTATTGTATTGCGCATCATTATTCATACGCATTTTTTCGAAAGAAAAGACGTTCGAAAAAAATCTACATTCATCAGTTAAAAAAAAAAAAAAAAGAAGAAATTAACTAGGATGAAATTTTGTTTATTATTACATTATTTACGCGTTCTTTTTTAGTGTGCATAAATAAATAGAATAGAAATTATTTTTTGGACGATTTATTAACAGGTATATTGATTTCTTAAACGTTGAATATTTGTAAGAATAAATTGCGCGTATCGGATGAATAATAAATGACTCGTTATAAAAATTATTTATTCAGTGGTAAGAAATATCTGTCTGCGTGTATAAAAAAAAAACAAGAAATACAAAATTGTTTTTAAATGCCGTAACAACGACAAATTAAAGTGGGATAAAACGGTTAAAATTTATGATATATAAGAATACTTACGAGTATATTTAATC